AAAAAAAAAAAAACCCCGAAGGCAGGCAGAGGTAGGTTCACATTACGGCAGTAATGCCACTGTACCTACAATGTAACACCCACTTTTCACTATTTATGTTATGAGCCCCATGTAATAGGGAGTGAGCCTATTGCTCTACGCCGGGCACGTTTCCAGACTCCGTGCTACTACTGAGGTTTTTTTTTAAAACCCTGTTATACTTTTCCCGACCCGGGAATCGAACCTGAGACCCTTTGTCCGGTATTTAAAACCTGATGAAATCTAAGAAGTGTAGTACACTGTTTCCTTTTGTAATAATAAGTTTATAAAACTTTTAATGAGGTCACGATCTCAATTATTAATGATGTTAACAAACACGTATCGAATTATTTATGTTAATATTAAAAAAATATATTACCGTTCATTATCTTCTCATCACTCATCTCCATGAACGGTACGGAACCTACCTAAATGAGAGTCCGTTTTTGTGACCATTAGATGGCGCTCCATGTTTACTTGACAAATAATCAAATTCAATACTTTTTTCGAACTGTCAAAAACGACAGTTTTCTTTTAATTTCGTTCGAGATTGTGTTGTGACGTCACGTTTTTTTACCGTCAAACAGCACACTAAGGGTCTGGCTGGAGGAGAATGCCCTAGGCATTAAGCCCACTTTGTACATTAATGTGTGCATGAAGTCTTTTAAAATAAAAATAAAAAATAGAATAAGGGCTGAAACACATAACCGCGTTGCGTCGTCGCAACACTAAAGTCAGCAGTTTGCGTTGCGGCGTTGCGGCGTCGTAAAAAACAGCGTTTTGTTGTCGTAACCACTTCGTCGTGATTTTTTATTGTGGATAGACGTGTCTCTACCATGGGACCATCGTGAAAAACTTATTGCTTATTTGTTATTAAGAAGATATTGAGACATTAAGAAGACCCTGTTATGCTGGAACGAGCGCTGCGTTGCGGCTCCGCAACGCGGTCGCGTTTCGGCCTTTATTTCTTAAAAAGTTTCTGGAGCAATACTAATATTAAGTTAGTCATAACATCAATGAAAGTGCGATTATCGTATATATGCTTTTTTAAATATTTTATTGTATTGAACAGTAGAAATAATTTGTTTTTGATTAAGGCAAGTATCGAATTTTATTCGTGATTAGACGAATGGGTCCTAACACTACATCAGCACTATTTCGTGAGCATAAAAACTTTAGCCCTCATTTCTATATGAAAAGGTGAATAAAAATAAAAAACCAAATTATATCTAACATAATTTATTGGTGAATCAAATCCCATAAATTAAAAAAAAATCGTAAATCAGCTACTTACAGAAATAAGCTAAGAACATTGATTCGGGAACACAGATATACGAAGTAGGTAGGAGCCAGCTAAAACTGGCGGAGACACGGCGAAGATACTGAGGAAAATAAACCTTAACTTCTATGACATACACAAGAAAATGGCATGCCTAAGAAGCGAAAGACGACGCACTCAGCACGTACCTCTAAAATCGATATTTGCCATGCGATTTTCATCCGTATGTCTTACGGTATGGTTGGGTTTACTGTTTTGATGGTAAGGTTTACTTTAAATTTGATTTATTCTCAGTATGTTCACCGCGCCTCTGTCGATTTGCGCTGAGCCAAAGACCGAATTATGCCAATCAGTGCCTTCTCTATCTGTAGCATATAAGTTAGGTTAGAATAGAGATAGCACATATGCGCTTACGCTTACCAAATTGATACAGTTCAGTCTTCGAAAAACCAAATTAAATTGCTTTTACAGGATCGCGTGCGCAGGAAAATCAAGCTATAAATATCGGATCATTTTAAAAAAAATTATACATACTTTTTTGTACCTTATTACATTAAATTTTGCGAAATTTAAATGCTGTTAAAATATAAACGTATACATATTTTTTAATGCAATCGAATATAGCTAGTTTTCTTATTATGTCAAGACACTACCTGTATGAGAGTAAACAGCCAGTAATCTCTTATTATCTAATAAAAACAACAGTACATAAGTAGTAACTCTATTTGATTAAGAGGGTGTATAATTTTCGTACTATTATGTACTATTTTGAGTATATATCTGTGTTAACGACGAAATTTAGATGTTCTAGGCGCAAACTAATATTAGCTTATAAGATCCTTATTATTTCTTTATTAGTTATATGGACGTGAATTCAAGGCTAGATCGAGATATTCTGTATTGATAATCTTGGCTGTTTAACTATCACTGGTAAATAAACGCCGGCAGCGCCATCTACGCATGGCAGGGCCTTTAGCTGAACACCACTTTAGCGCTACAGAGAGAATAGAAAACTAAATGTATGGGGATGACATTATTATATAATTTGGTATTCTATTCTACATGTAGACAAGCGCTAAATGGCATTTGGCTACAACTGCAAATTTTTTTTTTTATACCACGACGGTGGCAAAAAAGCTCACGGCCCACCTGATGGTAAGCGGTTACCGTGGCCTATGTACGCCTGCAACACTTGGGGCATTACATGCGCCTTGCCTACCCTTAAGAAACCTATTCACCGCCCTCTTGAAGAACTTCATGTTGTAGCCCACTAGGAAAACCACGGCAGGGAGCTCATTCCACAATAGGAGGGTCCGTAGGAGAAAATTCCTCTGAAACCGAACTGTACGGGACCATATTGGCTCCAATGAGTGAGCGTGAACCCCCTGTCGATGGCGAGCGGTGCGATGATAAAAAGAAATGCTAAATACAGTATATTATACATTAGTAAACTCTTGTAGATTTAGTTTTAATTTAAAATTGCACAAAACTATGAAATCACGTTGGAAATTCATATAAAATTATGACAAATGACTAGTTAATAAACACATATCATTAAAAGTATTGCATTTTCGATCACTGAAAGAATTAATACATCAACAACAGCCAAGATTCTCAATATAAAATTGTAAGTACAAAACACACAACTACTATTTATTTTTAATCGGTTCAATATGACTAAAAGGGAAGAATGATGACTTGATTATATTTAAGTTACATCTTCATAGGCCACTAAACGAGGTAGATACATGGCAGTACAACTTAAGTCATCAGAAATCATTACCTCAACAATTGTATATTTATTTCCTAAACTATTTGGATAACATTAATATAATTATTATTATTAGTAACTAGGAAGCCATTGGCATTCGATTTTAAACTTTATATCTGGAGTACAAAGTGCTGTTTGCCTTGCAATTCATTGAGTAATAAAGCATCACACATGATCATCCATTCTGAAATCACGTCCCCAGGATGAAGAAAGCAATAATTTTAGGACATTTTCATTTCACATTCAACTTAATACATATTGTGATAAAGTTCAAAATTGCGATAGCATAGGCGTGTATTTACAACAATGAAACTTTTTATAGACTCTATTCCAAAAGAAATAAGACACAATCATGTCTGCTCCTATTAAAAGGGCTCTAATGGCATGGCATTTAAAGTACACTTTTCATTCACCAGTAGAAAATATGGAGTGATTTAATGATGTATTTGCTATCATCATATTTCAACGCATTATTAAATATCATTCCTTTAATTCTAGGGCTAAAAGACTACATCAAACGTACAACTCACTTTAACCCCTTTAAAATAAGGTGACAATTTTCGACACTAGCGCCACTTCACAGAAACTACCTCGAGACTCGACCGCAGAAATTGAAATTAAAAAAACCATTTGTTCTAACTACAAGCCTTGAATTCATATCCGCAGCGCATTCACAAACCGGCATAATTAAGTTATTCATCACAGTTTCATTACAAAATTTACATAAAATGAAATCTTGCATTTTACAAAACATGTCGTTTACGGGTGCTATCTTCAACAGAACCGCTTTACTGTTAAAATTCAACCTGAAAAGAGAAAAAGTATAATAATTATGATGAAAGTCCCGTTTAATGGGTGAAACTATTGCGACACACTGGGCAGTTCCGGACTTAAAATTTTACGAAATATCGAATAATATCTGGGTTATTAATAGTGAAAATTCTATCTAGTTAATAATAATGTTTTCGGTTATCAAAGTAGTTTCTAATTACCTAGATGCAATAAAGAAATTGTAAGAGATTTTGCAATTTTAAGTACTAGCTGTTACCCGCGACTTCTTTCGCGTGAAATTATTCATGTTTCTTGTTCATTTATACTTTTTTGACGCGACGTGTTGATTGACGAGGCGTATTTGTTGTCTACTCAAGATGGCGACTGCGGTTTGTCTGTTAGTGTCATTAAAATGAATTAATAAATGGAAATTATCTCCGTAATCCGAATATGTAGTCAACTCGAAATCGATATTTTTTTGTTTTGTTATTCAAGTAATGTTTCGATCGAGGCGACACATGCCACATGTCTGACAGCATGACAGCTCACGCACATTGGCTATCGATGAAAAACAAATCAATGGATGACGTCACAAAAATCCTACACCGCACATGTGAAGTTTAAATGCGAATTAACACGGATAGAAAATCCCAACAAACAACTGTTGGGCAGAAAACCCGCCAGGCACGAACACCTCGCCTGGTCCTTTTCCGATCTTGGGGAACTTACTTTACTCTCTACTCCCTAAAAGTACAACAGTCAACCAGCAGGCTACCGCCGGTTACGTAACGTTAATTATCCAGGTTAAAAGTGCATAGTTGCTTTCAGGAATCTAACATTCACTTCGCACTCTTCAAGGCCCAAGTTGCTTATGGGACGACATGCTTCATAGACCGCATCATCGCTTACCCACCAGGCGAGATAGTGTATCTCGCTTACCCACCAGGCGAGATAGTGTATCTCGCTTACCCACCAGGCGAGATAGTGTATCTCGCTTACCCAGCAGGCGAGATAGTGTATCTCGCTTACCCACCAGGCGAGATAGTGTATCTCGCTTACCCACCAGGCGAGATAGTGTATCTCGCTTACCCACCAGGCGAGATAGTGTATCTCGCTTACCCACCAGGCGAGATAGTGTATCTCGCTTACCCACCAGGCGAGATAGTGTATCTCGCTTACCCACCAGGCGAGATAGTGTATCTCGCTTACCCACCAGGCGAGATAGTGTATCTCGCTTACCCACCAGGCGAGATAGTGTATCTCGCTTACCCAGCAGGCGAGATAGTGTATCACGCTTACCCACCAGGCGAGATAGTGTATCTCGCTTATCCACCAGGCGAGATAGTGTATCTCGCTTACCCAGCAGGCGAGACGGGATGGTCGGCCCATCATATGCAAAAAAAATCGCTAAGCGGATGGTGCAGCAGCCGGAACTCACAAAGTTACAACATCAACCTATACTCGTCATGATCTAAAAAGTACTTTAATAAAGCTTTGAAATCACCAGTGCCTTCAATCAACGTACCTAATAAGCGTACCGCATCACAGGAACGCTCCAAAGCCGAACGCGCGCTTAATACTGTCGAAGTAGTACCGCCGCCAGTTGTCGCGGGTCTGGTCCACCTCCGCGGTCGGGACCAGGTCCTGCTTCACTGTCACCAGGGTGTGGTCGTCCTGAAAATATTACGGAGAGACTATAAGGGACAAGTGACTTAATAATTTAGATAATTAGGTACAAAATAGGGTACTTTTTAGTTCATATTTTAGAAGTAGATTTTTAATGATCGCTGTGACAAAAATATAAAACAGGACTGAAAAACCTTTAAGATAAGTTACACATTCATCCCAATCAGTTCAAGTGAAAGGAAATAGTTCAGTTCAACAGACATATTGATACTCAAACAGCACCTTCAAGATCAAAGATGATTCATTTTGATAACTGAAGCTGCTTGCATCTCCTAAATAATTAAATTGAAAATGATATGACTAAATTGGGTACATTCCTTAATCAAAACTAAATAATTTTGACTGTTCAATAAAATATTAAAAAAAGAATCTCACTTCCATTAATTAATTTTACAACCAACTATAATAATTTTAGTACTTTTCCTGCAAATTTTCAAGAAATAGTATGCTATTTAACTCTTTGAGTACCGTCATTATAGACACAATTAAAGGAAAATAGGTTGCGGTCACCGGTGACCGCTCGGTGTTTGACAGTTAAACGGTAAAAAAACGTGACGTCACAACTAGTTGGCAAGTACCGAATTCAATAAAAAAAACCTACTTTGTAAATGCTAAAATCTTCATAAATAGCGAAAAAAGCAGTTCCTTTTGCCTTGTAAAACAGAATACAGATCACAATGCCTTAAAGAGCTTACCTTCTCATCAATAATAAATGTGACTTCAGAGAAGTGTTGTTCCGGCCACTGTTTGTACCGCCAATACTGGACTATCTTCTTTGGAGGCACCAGCTCCCTGAACTCGCCCGTAATGTTACCGCCAAAGAGAGCAAACTTGCCACCCTTCTCCGCTTCCATTTTCACATGACCCTACAAGAAAATTTTTTTTACTTATGTATATTTGTAGCTTTTTGTAATTTGACGCCTTCTAACCTTTACCAACTTAAAAAATTACCTTCATTGAACACAGTAGTAATAATGTCTAACATTATCCCCTTCTCATGCTCTTTGATATCAACAATTATTATTTCATAAAAGGCAATGAGAATTAATTCTTATAAGAGTAACAAAATAGAAAGTAAATTACCTGTGTAAAAGCAGTAACCATTTCTATTCGAGTCATAGCATCATAGAACTCCTGTGCACGACACTGAAACTTCTCCGACAGCTCAATGCTCTTCGTATCCAACTTGCAACCAATCTGATTATTCTTCGGAGCTACTATGGGGTCCATGCTAACTTTCTTATTGAAACCGCTGGTGATCATTGAGACATTATCTGGTTTTACGGTGGTTTCTCCCTTCTTGGGTAGAATGAGACCTTTGGAGAATTCTTCTTTGAGACTACGGACATACTCTGAGAGCTGCTTACGGATTTTATCTCGGCCTACGTTGTGCATAAACGCTTTGACCCTCTGAGCTTCCTCACCGCTGCCTTTGATTGTGACTGAAATCTGCAATGGGATGTTGAAAAACTTATTAAAAATATGCTAAAATGTTTAATAATTTAGCTTCTGTTGTCAGCATGGATATCTATCTTTTTGTGAATTATAAAGAATTAGAAATTAAACAATACCTCGTTTCATTCAATATATATTAGCCAAGCATCAGTTGCAGTGAATTTAACCATCTACATTAATTTTACTATAAAAGTCGGTTTATCAAAATGGGAATCTAGTGAGATTCTGAACAGAAATTCGCAAGCAGAATCATGACAAGCATGTTTTATACAATAACAAAATGCAAATTTCGATTTACAGTTGAATACATATAAAATTCTTTGAATTTAACATTTCAGTTTGATCATAGCTGTTTTCATGAATTTATTTATGCATATAAACACTATACAGTCACAAGATTGCTGATCAGTATTTTTATATTCATGCAATATGCCAATAAGAATGGAAAACATCAATAAGAATACAGAATAAGAAAAAATCTAGATAACAAGATGTTATTGATGGTAAAATTCAATTGGCAACTGATCATACCATAGAAAATACATTTTCGATTTTCGAAATTTTATCATTTACACATGTTTTACATACATTATTCTGGTTTTAGCCAATTTGTAACAAAGTCATCAAGCAAAGTTTTTTACCCATTGTGCCATTATCAAACAAAAACCACTTACTTCCCATCTGTGGTTATAATTTGTAGGTTTTATGATAAAATGTGAATGAACATGGGGCTTTTATGTGATACCATACATATTACTATAGGTAATTTATTTATCTATGTGATCAAAGTTCCGTACAGTCAGCCTGTATGCAGGAATCAGCATATCAAAACAGTTAATTAGAATATGGAGTTCTAGGTTATACAACCAGATGTTATTTCAATGTCAAATTGCTCAGCAATGAAATAAATAAATTACTAAATAAAGTAGGAATACTCACATCCACTTCGCTAACGTCGTTCTCCTCCGACAAGTTCGGAATGCTCACTTCTCCCTTCACGACATCCTTGCTACCAGCCAAGGTGCCTTCCCACTTCAATTTAATATCCCATTCATAGAAAAATATTAACTTTCCTTTCCTATTATTCGCTGAAGCCTCACCGTCCAGCTTCTCCACCTCTGTCACCTTACAATCTACACCATTTTGCGCTATCTTGAAATTATTCAGCAGCTCTTTTAGCCGCTCCTTCGACCACGGTCCTGCATTTTTCTCCGTCCAATGCCAGTTGTTCACATTTGTAGCGTCTGGCCGCTCCTCCACAATCCATCTAGGATCACCTTCGCCCCATTTGGCCATTTTTCAAGATTGATTATACACACAAGGTCTTAGAATTAACTTTTCTTGAGATCACCACACACGGAGTCAAGTCAAAACCGTGACAGTCAAGATTTTTGACACGTTGTGATCGGCGAACCCAATCGTAACGCTAGAGATTGATTCAACACACAATATGATTACAAATAACCCGCGTGCTAGTTGCGAATCACTTCGTTTTCTCGTAATTTTCGAGAATAGTCTGGTAAGAAATGAAGCATGCCATTTCCAAGTGACAGTTAGGATGTTGCCACCATATAATTTAATTTACCCTTAAGCCTCCTATATTTATATTCAATTTTTTTAAATACATTCTAACAATCTTTGTTATTTCCTCATTGGAGGAGTACTAATTCAATAATTAAATGGGATAGGTTGGCAAACAAGCCGATAAACGACCTGATACTACTTAAGAAGTCAGCACTATCCGTGAACATTCGTGACACCAGAGAACTTACAAGTGCGTTGGCAACATTTTGGACGTTTCGAGATCAGAGATGAAAGGAAAGACTGGAATTTTGGCTTCTGGTGGTTAGCGGAGACAGTTTGAGTCAGTTTCCACTTGCATGGCAAAACACAACCATATCACGTATCATAATAACTTTATTTTATCTTTTTAAAGTTAGCATATAGCATTTCTATGATATAATTACTGTTCAATATAGTTAATATGAATAGTATAATAAAAGCTAAGCAATTCTCTAAATCACAACATTTAAAATTTTTCCTTGTTTTTGTATACGTTAATTTAGTATGGCAATAAATTGACAGTTTCTGCATGATTCTAGAAAACAGCAATACCAACATAAGCAATACGTCCGGCTGTCAACGAAAAATACGTTTCGTTCTACACAGCAACTTTAGCAGTTTACTTCGTGCTATTTCCGCTTAAATTCAAATCCTACTAATGAATGAAATTGAAATGTTCCAATGGAACAAATTGACCAATAATGTAATCGGAGTACATTTTGGACATTATGTTATTTCATGGTTATTTGGGTCAGGCCTAATCTGCAATTTTTTTATCATAATTTATTTATTTTTGTAGTTATTATTTACTGTAACGCTTAGTAGGCTGGCTGATGACCAAGGAACTTATGCTTTACCTATAAGTTCCTTGCTAATGACAAAGTGCCTAGCGATTTTAACGAGCAACAAGAAGACGAACATAAACATACTCACTTTTTGCTAAGTAAATGTATGTAGGTACACAACAAAAACAAACATCACGTATTAAATGGTTACACTTAAAGTTATGTACTTAGAACTGTGACATAGATACAACGCACCTGTGACTCCTCTGGTGTTGCGAGAGTCCATGGGCGGCGGTGATCGCTTACCATCAGCTGATCCGTCTAGTCGTTAGCCTCCTCTCATAGTCCATAAAAAATAAGTAGGTACCTAGGTATTTGAGATTAAATACCACCGGTTCTTTTTATCATTTTCAATGCACCAAAAAGTGTTGAGGCCGTTATCGAAGCCGTGTGTGATCCGAGATCTATGCATCAATAACGAACCAGTTCCTAAAAATACTCGGACTCCATACGTAATAAATTATTAATATCTATGTACTAAAACCTCTTTGTAGCTATATGAGCTACACCACAGAAATATTTATCTATGAGCTACACCTACCAAAGCGTAACTCATAACAAAATAAAAAAGACAAAAGACTCACAAGAAATTGGTGCGCGCACGCACTATGTTTACCGCTTCTCGTGCTACACAACACAATAATCTGTTTTAAGAAATTAATAGATGAATTAGTTACAACTACATAAGTACTTTGTACCCTGTTCAAAAGCTTCGCTGGCGACAGGAAATGAGAGATAAGCTTTAATCAAAAACAAATTTTTTTGCTTGTTTAGTTTTATTTAAAGTAGGTCTGCTTAGATAGTAAAGGATTCTGTGACACTAACATAGTCAGTCACCAACATAATAGGTAGGTAGGTAAATATCTACCCAACCCAATGGCATATTAGAAGCTACTTTAAAATAATGAACAAAGATAATAGAGCATAATAAATTGGTATTTTGTAACTGTCAAGGTCACCAAAGTAGATTTGGTCGAACTCGAAACACGTTATCTTCGTGCGAGTGAGATAACATACCGGTCCCGAGAAATCAACTCAGTTCGACTCGGAGTTCGCTCAACGCAGGCGCGGCCGCATCCATTGCCTGTTGCAAACAGTATAAAATAAATAAAATAACAATGTTCCCATTACGCCGCGTTGGCAGCAAGGTGTGTGATCAGTGCTTCAATAATTAAAAATGAATATTTCACTATGGTTCGATTTAAATTTGAATTCGAATTATTATTTTTAAAAGTTTAGCCAACATTATGAATATTGATGTCGATAATCGATTGAGTTAGAGTTAGATAATAATTATGTAGAAAAGTTGTTTAAAAGTAGCCGGTTTTGCAGATTCTGGAGCAATGGAGGGCTCCCGTGGTTGCGGCGAAAGTGCACAAGAATTACAGCTCGGATGTGGTCACTCCTCAACCGTTGTCCGTGTTGACCGAAGACGAACTCGCCATGAAAGATACAAGTAAGTGCGATACAACGCAAACAAACATGGTATGCGCGTCCATAAATTACACGCCAATGTACTCAGCAGACATAACATTAAATACTAAGAACTAAACCGATATTATTAACTAGATCCTGTAAAATATGAATTAAAAAACGTTGACTTATCAACTAAGGCCACGCGACACTATGAAATAATTTGACGCGTAATATCAGACACGTAAAATGAGTACCTAGCTAGAACCTTGTATTTATTTGCACTGTCCAACTTCGCTTTTAAACGATCGTCATAATTATTCCTAATTATTGATTCTCTATTGTTTATTATGAGTAGGTTTTGTTATTTTTTGTTCAAAACCTCAGTAACTGTATCTTATAACTCTAACTTCTGCCAGCCGCTTCACTTGTGTCTCAGTGGGATAATAAATAGCCTATGTAATATTCCAAACCATAATCTACCCCTGTTTTCGATCTTATCTCGATCCCTTCAGCCATTTGGCGTGATTGTGTAACAAACATATCTACACATAATCAAAAAGTTTCACATATATAATGTTAGGTACCAACTATGATATAAAAACTCTTTTCTTCGACCTATTTCTATCTAGAAAAGGTCAGTAACGTACATCTAGATTCGTATTACCTACTGCTGGATTAATTGAACTCTGCCCCTACTAAATTTAGACATTGTCGGTGTATTTATACTTTCTATAAGTAGAACAGAATGGACTAGACAATCGGACTGGTTGAATAAATCAATCTTAAGTCACATATCCAATTTTGGCTGGACTTGAACCCGCGACTAGTCTTATCAGTTAGCACTAAGTTGATAAATATGTCATGTCATAACGACACCTTTTTTTAAACGTTGCCCCACACTAGGATTTTTTCCTGTGTAGTGGTTGCGTTTACAAACATGCAAGTTCATATGCATGACGCCCAGACCTGAAAATTGAGATAGCCATGTAGCTTCGACCGGAGTGATACCACGGCCTCCCAGAAAATCGACGTGAAGCAACGCATGCGTTGTGTTTCGTCGTGTGAGTGAGGTTACCGGAGGCCCAATTACCCTCCCCTTCCCAAATCTCCCCAATCCCTAAATCCCCAACGATCCTCAAACTCCTTATCCCCAAAAGGCCGGTAACGCACTTGTAACGCCTCTGGCGTTCCAGGTGTCCAAGGGCGACGCCGCGCCGATTGCTTATCATCAGGTGACCCGTCTGCTCGTTTACCGGCTTATGCCATAAAAAAACAAACTATATCTAAAATACAAGCTTCTGCCCGCGACTTCGTACGCGCAATCCTGTTTTCTCCCGGTCCCTCAAGATTTATTATTTTTGTCTTAAGAACCTTCTCTTTGGGCTCGCTGCCATCGCAGCGGTAAGTCCCCTCTTTGAGGAGTGGCTTGAGAGACGCTACGGCGTCCTCACCTACCGCCTGACGCAGGTCCTCACCGGACATGGCAGTTTCGGGAGGTACTTGTGTCTGATGGGGCGGGAGGAAACGCCCGGGTGTCATCACTGCGAGGACCGCCCTGAGGAAACGGTGGAACACACTGTAGCGGAATGCCCTGCGTGGGCTGAGCACCGCCGTGTCCTCAGGGAAGTGATCGGCGATGGCGACCTCTCGCGTCCGGGCCTAGTGCAGGCCATGATGCGGAGCGAGGGGGATTGGGATGCCGTCTCCTCCTTTTGCGAAGCAGTTATGCTAGCTAAGGAGGAGGCAGGACGCGTGAGGCAGCGAAGCGCTGCCTTGTCGCAACCCAGCCATCGCGAAGGACACACCGGGCGTCGGGGATCGCGGGACGATCTCCGGCCACCGTAAGCGCGGGCCTGCGGACGGCGAGCATGGGTGGCTCCCCGTCCGACCAGAAACAGACCCGAGCGTACGGCGCGTCGCGTTCCGCGCGCGCCTCAAAGAGCCATCAGACCACCACAGATGGGGCCCAATAAGGCCGATGCCGATTCGGAGTCGCGGAGAACCTAACGGGTAACCGGGGCTCCGGCTCGATGTGCAGGAGAAGGAACGGGCTGGTTTTTAGTCAGTAAGAGTCTGACACTCCCTCCCGCCTCACCCAGGCGGGAGGAGTCAATCGATGATTATCCCCGCTTAAAAAAAAAGAACCTTCTCTTAATAATAACAAATACAACAAAAAAGAATTAGTGAAATCGGTCCAGCCATTCGCGTGATGCCGTAACCAAGGGAAAAAGTTAATATTTATAAGTAGGTACAAAATACATGGGCGATACATACATATAGGTACCTGGTTACCAACATATACCTATGTATCTTTGAATTTTATAACATTAACATTCAGATTCACCATTGCCACTATGCCAAGCAAAAATCAGATGGATAGATTTATAAACCAACCCGTTTTTAACTTAATAGTATAACTTAATAGAATAGAAATCGAAGATGGAAAACATATAATTCTGTAACTAGTACTATTCACCATTTCAGTTTTTCATTTTAAAAAATAAAGTCAAATCCTTTATTTCAAATAGACCAGGAAAGAACTTTTGAACGCCAAAACAAAATATTACAAAATGTGTATAGAAATAGGTACCTAGGTGCCTATCTAATCTTCAGTTTAATGTCTAGCATTTTTTTTAATAATAACATAATAAACTTAATCGATAAATAATATTCTGACGTCAAAAAATTTAATTGTAATATTATTAGGTATTTGTTAAATCACATTAAAGGTGAATTATCTACCTATCTACTTACCGTTAGCTACGTACTTAGTTGTCCAAAATTAAATAAATAACCCATTTTGGGTGTTTCATCTATGTTTTATTGTCAAATGTTCGAATGAATTGACTGCACAGTTGGTGCGATGGCTGGGCAACCGGCTGCCGTGCAACGTGTCGCGGGTTCGATTCCCGCACGAAACAACACTTTGTGTGATCCACAAATTGTTGTTTCGGGTCTGGGTGTCATGTGTATGTGAACTTGTATAATGCACCCACGGCACAGGAGATCATCCTAGTGTGGAGCAACGTTTTTTTTTTTTAAAAAATTCTTAATAAATAGAATTCAAAGTTGAAGGTCGGATGATTGCAAGTTGTGCATTAAACAATATTAGAAATATAGGTAAATTACTAGTTAATAGGTTAGGCTAGGTTGTTAAGTACCTATACATAACTATTACTTTGGATTATATTATTACATAAAACACTGTTTTGATTATTTTAAGTAAATGTCCAATGTCGATATCTGTGTTCACTAGTCGATTAACAAAAACTGACACCATCATAAATTCTAACTTTCCGCGAAGCAGAATTGAAAATATAAGGATATTCTTCAATAATGTTCTAATTGACACTATAAGCAAGTAATAATTACAAAAAAATTTCATAGTAACACACTATACCTGGTATAATGTCGCGGAGAACCTAACGGGTAACCGGGGCTCCGACTCGACGTGCAGGAGAAGGAACGGGGTGGTTTTTAGTCAGTAAGAGTCTGACACTCCCTCCCGCCTCACCCAGGCGGGAGCAGTCATTCGATGATTTTTCCCCCCTTAAAAAAAAATACCTGGTATAATGCTTTCCCTTTCAGAAATAATCCCCAAAAGATGAAGTGCTTTTGATAAAATTGACAAAACGATCCCTTTTTGTAGCAATTTGTCAAAACTTCTAATATTTTTAGGAACGTATGTAGGTACCTGCAGTACCTACTCCTCATAGGAAATATCCATGAAATGTGAAGACAGCAAAAAAATTAAAAACTAACGGGTAGGAGACGTGTCCCTGTGCAGGAATATGAAATTCCGCGAAGACGTAGATGGTGGACCGTTAAACTACCAGTCTCTCTTAATTCTTAGTACCTCGACATGAATGGGCCGGCTTAATCGAAGTGATAACACAGGGCCTCAAGTTAAATTAACTAAACCAAACTAGGTATAACTATAGATATACTTTTTAATATTTCTGTGTTGTTACTTAAGTCCAAAAAATCAGGCAACCCATTTTTAGGAAGCCATGCGCGACGCTGATCCCACACCATCTATCCACTGCGCCTTTGCCATCACACCATCCCATAAAAATATACCCTAAAATGTAAGAAGAAACGCAAAATTTCAATTTTTTGTTGAAAGTGGTTTTTCTGGCGCCTGTACCTATTACATACCACAATCTTATTATTCGATCTTACGATACAAACTCAAAGGTACCTCCCCCTTTAAACCTGATAAAAATGATTACGATTGATTACTTAAGTATAATAATAAATTTTTTAACAAAATAAAATTTTGATATCTTATCTGCATTACTGACATACGTAAGTTGGGAGTTTGATAAATAGATGATACTAGTTGCTGCCCATGGCCTTACCCCTTTGCTTATCGTGTAGAAACACTCCTATTTAAATTCTCTCTTCATTTTGGGTAGACTAGTAAAAAGTCTACCATATTTACTGGCTGAATTCATTGGGTTTCGTTGCCGAACATACGTAGATGTAGCTTGATGATGACATTTTTAATCATGACGCGTAAGATCGCGTCCAGCCAAAGTCCAAACTCTCAGCCCACATTACAATAGTAACCATATTGAAATTCAAAACTTCGTTTGTCTCAAATTCAAAGCTGCAGTCTTGTACAGCTCGGCAAAAACGAGTTTGGCGCGATGAGAGCTTCAATTATATTGATTTCGGCCGAATCACCCACTTCCAACTTCCAACCATATCCCATCTGAACAAACAAATCATCGGAACATAGTGGTAACTGGTACCTCCTCTATTTAAACTCGATAAAATAACAAATTTCAAAACCGATTGAGTTCACTCACCAGCTTGCCACAAACTCTTTTTGCCAAATTATACCTACCTATTTGGTAGTTCTGGCCATCAATAGACCTTCATGAAAGTTCAGTACCTAATTTGTATCTGTGGGTAAGTATCCACCCAATTCCTGACATCATCATCGTCAACAACAACCGCTAGTGACTTAAACTTCTGGCTTAAAGGTCTATTCTACATAAGAGGTTTTGCCATGCCACACGCTTTGTACGTGGCTTTGAGGTCACAGATTCTTTAAAAAAATCATATTTAACAGGGATCAAGGTAATCCCTGATCATCTGATGACCTGGTCTCTTTTAAATACTACATCGAAGCTATGTATAAATCTCCTCGCTAAAGAGAGCTTAAATTGTTCTACTTATTTCAGTGATACTGCTTAAGCGACAAATATTACGTAGTACAAATAGATGTATAAGTTATGTATGTACGTACATTGTCGAACTGAATAGATAAGTAAACTTAAATTAAATAATAAACATTACCAGTTGTTACTGCTATCTCGCTCTTTATAATCATTATGATGCAACTCACAGTTCACACATTGTTATTGCGGTGTGATTATGAAATATCAACAAATATGGAAATATTTGGGTGCATCAGTTAATCTGTGTAGGAAAGTTTTTAATTACATATTGATTGTTAAAAGTACAAATATCTTAATTACTTAGTCGTTGATGGAATGTACTCGAACTTAACAGTAGTAATTGGCAAGAAATCACGTAGTATATTATCTTGGTCTTTTGTAGTCTTTTTGGTATCTTCTGTGGTCTTCTTCTTGAAAAGCACATAAAACCCATTATTTAGTGACTGATTATGTGCGGTTTTGTTTTTATTAATAAATATTATATCTCTATGATTAAACTAAAGTCATCTTGGGATTGACCCTAAACGAATTGTGGGAATATACCTAATGTTAATTGTATACCACAATACATTTATACCTAATGGATCATCGATGGATCATCGTCGCCTTACTTTTTTAAGGAAAATACACGTAGTAATTGTTCCATCGTGGATTATCTTTCTAGGTATTTCTATAAAGCCATCTTCCTTTATTATTTTTCGATTGTGCGCAATAGCAATAGTTCAACTTCGACCTATTCCTAAAGTAAATAAATAAAAGCTATTTATGATGATAATACATAACCCTATAATAATCAGCACTGCTTCGTAATATCGCACAAGTGTCGGAAAAAGGAAAACATGTTATTTTGTTATAACCGTGTGTTGTAAACCACAACAATTTGTTGTTAATGATGTAAACTAACGCCATTATAAAGTCTAATGAGTATGACAAATACAACTTCAACAGTAGTAGCAGAATAGAAGGATCTTATTAGTCTAGTAGCCACCCGCCCTGGCTTCGCACGGGTGCAATATGCATCTATTATACATATAAACCTTCCTTAAGAATCACTCTATCTATTAAAAAAACCGCATCAAAATCCGTTGCGTAGTTTTAAAGATCTAAGCATACATAGGGACAGACAGACGGCGGATAGCGACTTTGTTTTATACTATGCAGTGATTATGAATCAGAGATGAATAAATGTGTACGCAATACAAATTCACAATAGTATAAGGTCCGGAACGCACTTGTGACAACTCTCAACACTTACCATCAGTCAGCTTGTTTGATAGAAGGCAAACGAGCTGACAGAAATTACACGAAAGTAACTTTGTGATAATGTTTCCTTGTTTCCAAGCTTAGTCCTTAGTCCTTAATCTACTTATACTAATATTATAATGCTGAAGAGTTTGTTTTTTTTGTTTGTTTGATTGAACGCGCTAATCTCCGAAACTACTGATTCGAATTGAATAATTCTTTTTGTGTTGGATAGTCCATTTATCGAGGAAGGTTATAGGCTATAAAACATCTTGCTACGGCCAATAGGAGCCGAGCAGAGCGGGTGAAACCGCGCGCAAGTAGCTAGTCCAAATATATTTGTGTATGCTGGATTCTGTGATGGTACGAAGTTCACTGGAGCATACTTTTAATAAAAGACTGGTCTAGTTTAGTTAGAGTATTTAGCTACATTTTAATTTCAACGTCCCACGCGCACAAGCTAGTTTTAATCGTTGTTATATTAGTTCCACTGGCTTTTATAACATACATATTACGAAAACCGACCTTTCCTCGCATGAAACAACGTAATCTTAACAGAATAACTATAGCGCTATAATACTTTATCTATCTTTCGATGTTCAGTCGCTAAAATACTTGGCAACAGTGCGCGATAAATGCTTGTTTATGAACGTATGAGTATGATAAGATGGAAGAAACGAAGATAAAGAAACGTGGGTGTTACCACTTATATATATATTTTATATAAAATCGCGATCATGTATTAAAACACTGAAATGCTTGCTATTGCGTCGGCTTACGTCTAGACACACCCGTTTTCATGATACATTTTTACAACGTGTTTATAAATACTGAAGCTTCTGTTTATTTCATACTGAAATATCACCACAATGTCGAAATCAAAATAGATATCTAGATTATCTAGAGACCCAAAACGTACCTAGGTATCTAAATATGGAATTGCTGAGAATTGCCTGAATGCCTTTGATTGAAACACATTGGCAAATTAAATAGTAGTTAGTTAAAATTTTATGCCGAACTCTTTGGTAGGTACCTAATATTTCCTTTTTTTAAGTATGTCAAGTGAAACTAAAAACGTTTGCTGTAGTGGACCAGCCAGATAGGTAATGACTTTCCTGATTGTTTTACGATCACATAAATCTAATTAAGGAACAGCGACACTACCTAGTGCATTAAGTATTGACTATACATATACTACGTCATACATAAATGTAAAATAGGAAACAATTTGACATTTCCAAACGCAAAGAAAACCCAAACAGCTGTTACCAAGATTTAAACTAACACATTATTAGCGCGTTTGCATAATATAACACATTTTGCACAAACATTTAGTTAGTAGATAGGTAGTTAGGTACCTACGTACCTAGCTTACTTTCCATCCACTATGTTTTTAGACACGCGACCATACGATTAGAAATACTGGAAACCTAGAAATGTAAAGTGACTCGACCGTCCTCAATAATATTAGCATTTTGCTTGGTGTATGAACGCACGGTTGCTCGTTGAAACGATAGCGTGACATGTTTTTTAAATAAGCGCTTTATCGTCATTTAAATGATGGTGGTAGTTGATATTGGCCATTATTACTATGTCCGACTACTGATGTTTGTTTTTAGCCGTAGGTACTCGTATACAACCTAAAAATAAGGGCCTTTAAACTAGTTTAGAGGCACCGTTTCTGGTGTTTTTGGAATTAAAATGGAACCAAGAGTTTATTATGTTTGTTTTGTTTTTTAAAAACGTTGCCCCCCCACACTAGGATTTTCTCCTGTGTCGTGGGTGCGTTTACAAACATACAAGTTCCACACACACACACCTGACACCCACATCCGGAACAACAATCTGTGGATCACACAAAGAATTGTTCCGTGCGGGAATCGAACCCGCGACACGTTGGCGGCAGCCAGTTGCCCAGCCACCACACCAACCGTGTAGTCAATTATGTGATAGAAATTATAATTTTGAAGAATACCCAATAAAGGTACCGGCAATGGCAATATCATTTGAAATAGCGTCAATTTTATTGAGGCTGGTCCACCTGGTAGTGACATCTAATACTTTCAACTGCTCTATCTTACGTAAACTTGGTTACTTAAGGTGGACCAGTCAGTCAGTCAAGATTGGACGGATTTGAGTAGGATAATAGTAAAGCATTGCTATCTCTATGATAATAATCAACACTTGATGTGATAAAAGTAATACCCATATAGACAGCTAGATAGGACACAAAATATTCCAGAAAGAATATGGAATATTTTACAAGAAATATCACTGAATTGAAAAGGTTCCTAGACGATTAACCCTTTATTTTTATTGATTACAGTCAGAAAACTGGCAACAGAACAGATTGCTCCTCTGGTCAAGAAAATGGAAGACGAACACCGCATCGATGACAGCATCAGGCAACTGCTTTTTGACAATGGCGTGAGTGTCTTCTGACTCCCTGGGACTTACCTATGTACCTACACATTATTTTCTTACAAACATGTCAATTACCTTTTGAAATAACTGTCGTGAGAAAATTATGTACACACTAAATTAACTAAAAATCGCGGGTTACTCACGTGAATATACTGACTGCTGGAGTAGGCTACGCGACATCGCCGCGACCGCACACGCTGCTCATGAGGTGGAACCCCTCTGTGGTTCGAAACTAGTAGAGCTTTTCTCAGTATATTCGCGTGAGTAACCCGCAATTTTTAGTTAATCTCAATTATCATCATCATTATCTTCGTTCCCAAGTTACTTGGGCTTGGTGCTTTGTCTTTTTCAATTCTTCTCTATCAGATGCCATCCTATATCCTCCTCCTACTCCTGTTTTTTCATATTGTTCCTCACACAATCTCTCCATCTTGTGTTTGGTTGTCACCTTCCTTTCTATCTATCCACACCTCTATTCAGTTACCTACTTGTATTACTTATACATAATTTATTCATATCATTACCAGTTCCACAACTAGCCGTGCCATTTTAATTCAGTAGCATCAGTAGTAGATCACCTACCTACCTGGGAAGTCGTAAACTCATTCTTGAAATGTGTTGTTTGGGAAGCTGGGAATACTTACAATTTTAAACCGATTGTAACCGATCAATTAATATTGCATTACATAATCAAGAAAAAAACACCAATAAACACAAGTAGGTAGATAGGTAGGTAACTACATACCCAATTATATAATGCATTTATTGTGCAAACAAGTGGCAATAAACTCTGATGACTTATCGATATCAGTATGACTTGCAATACAATGTCATGGATTTAAAAAGACTTAGATAACATCATATAATTCAAGAGGTTTTATAGCTATAAGTGAAAGGGGATTTTCAGGAGATGATTGTAGAAATTGTGCAACAACCTTGAGAAGTGCATTCTACCTATCGATGCTTAATTTAACATTATCAGGTCTATTTTAATGTTAGAGGTCACTACGAACTCATGAATAAGTCCGAAAGTTTACAGCGGTTCTTTGATGTCGTGTCATTTATAAATATGTAATTAATTGATCGTATCTACATACAATATAGGACACCTAACAGAGTGGAATTCGATATACCTACTTTAATTAAGGCAAGAGGGCGTATCAGACTGTTTCAACATCACCCTGTTCCTATCCCTGCTTCAAGCCCCGGGAACCTTTAAAGTCGTTCGTAGCCCCGACCATAAAATTTACATCTTTTCTGTTGGAATAACACTTTCCATAAAAGATAAAACCATATCTAATTTCCTCCACAGTTAATGGGTATCGAGACCCCCACTGAATACTCTGGCTCCGGCTGTGGGTTCCTCACAATGATGCTGGTCGTCGAAGAGTTGTCCAGGGTAGACCCTGCGGTAGCTGCCTATGTGGACATCCACAACACCCTCGTCAACTCTCTGTTCATGAAACTTGGTACTGAAGAGCAGAAACAGAAGTACTTGACGAAACTCTGTACTGAATACGTAAGTACACTTAGAGGATCTTAGTTTTGTCTCTATAGGAGTTTGTGCTATCTATGGCTGATTCAACTGGAAGTTTAAAATTAAAACTTATGGTCATGTTTATTGGACGGTGGTGGAGCAATGATTCAAATTGCTCGAAGTACCTATAATATTTGCTTAAAACCACCTGTTCACCAAAAAAAAAGGTCTCTTTTTGGGCCATCATTACATGTCTTCTATAAAAATCTGTGGATAGCTACTTTCTTTTGGTCTACGAGGGGAATGTAGGTATTTAGCAAACACAGTGAAATAGATAAACCTAAGTATTATTTTTTCTCAGGCTGGCAGTTTTTGCCTCACAGAGCCTAGCTCAGGATCCGACGCGTTTGCCCTGAAGACTGTTGCCAAGAAGGATGGTGAGCACTACGTCATCAGCGGTTCCAAGATGTGGATCTCCAACTCCGATGTCGCTGGAGTGTTCCTAGTTATGGCTAATGCTGACCCGTCTAAGGTAAGAAAATACTCAATGTAGGTAATTATTCAGGGTTTACTTCAAAACCGAATTAGCTATAAGTCATTATTATTTTTGGTTGTTGTTTATTTTCACCGCAGTCTTTCAAGAATGTTTTAATTTTAACCGATAAAAACACCTAGCCCAATGACTTTGCATCGTCCTTGCTTAATTTGGAGCTATTGCTCCAATTATAATATCCAAATCTCCATCATTAAAACGGTTCAACAAATTCCAGGGTTACAAAGGTATCACCTGCTTCATAGTAGAGCGCGATACCCCCGGACTGAGTGTTGCCAAGCCTGAGACCAAGCTCGGTATCCGTGCTTCAGGCACCTGCATGGTGCACTTTGACAATGTTAGGGTTCATGAAAGCAGCATTCTTGGAGAATATGGAAAAGGGTAAGTAGAAACTACTGTTTCTAGAATTAAACCTTAATTCACGGTGGTGGAGGCTATCAATAGACAGGTTTGACCAGAGTTTTTTATGAGATGAGCCTGCCAAATCCTCCCGACACCGCTACAACTCCTGTAAGTCAGGATCTACAGTAGATCAAGATCAGGGTGCTTACTCTTGAAGTCAATCTCAATGTCGATGCAATTTCAATCCAATACAATCTCAATAATGACTCAATGTCAAAACTATACAACCCCTACCGTAGCTGTTAAAGTAGCATTCAGAGTACGGAATATAAACCTAAACTCAATACCATTTAGTCCATTCAATATCAATTAAATTCAAATATTTTAATCAATCAATTTGAAATATTTGAATTCGCATTCGCCGTTCGAAGTGAACAGACGTGCTTATTAGCAATATTTAATTTAATGCAATAATAGTGACCTACTTGATTTAGTTTTGCTTATACTCTGAAAATAAGTATTATAATATGGAAACATAAACATATTATATCGGTTAAAAATGGATAAGAGCCCCAGCAACCTCGCTTCCTGTGCCTCACCAATTAAAAGCAGCCTTCAAACTGACTTCACTATCGAAGTTGTGTCAACGCCCGAAATACAGAAATGGATGGCATCAATCGAACAACAATTAAATGAAGTTTGCTCTATTGCTACGGAGGGAAAACTTAACTCAGAGCAAAAATTGAAAATTACAAACCTGAGCCGTAAAATTGGATCCAGCGTCTCACAAATGGCAGTTTTGTATCAATCTCTAAAGCAAAAGTCCCGTCTAGCTATTAACATCATTGATGACCTAAAGGAGAGACGTGACCTGGCAGATCAAATTTCGGAGATCAAGAATACAATCAAAGACTCTACTGGAATGGGAAATAATAATTCATTTGCTGACATGGTGAAAAAGGGTAAGAACTTCGTGCGTCCCAACAATTTGAGCTCTGTCGCTATTTACCCTGTGAACCCATTAGTACAATCAAGTGACGAAACCAAAACTATAGTCCAGAAAATAATACGCCCTGATGAATTGAAGTTGCATGTCCGAGGACTCCGTAAAACACAAAATGGAGGTGTTATAATTAGCACCGAAACCAAGGAAGACGCTGAAAAAGTTAAGGATGCAGTTCAGCTATCATCATCTGGCCTTACCACCGACGAACCTAAAAAACGTCAACCACGACTTACGGTTGTAGGAGTACCGAGCTCTATGTCTGATGCTGAAGTATTCAAGTGCATTTATGAGCAGAACGTAGCTGACAAGTTTTCAGGGATCTCAATGGAATCCTTTCTAAAAGATGTAAAGTTAAGCCATAAATCCGGAAGAAAGGACGCACCGGCCTGCAATTATATCATACAAGTCTCTGGCAAGATACGCAAAGCTCTTATTTCTCAGGAAAGACTTTACATCAATTGGACTTCGTGCCCTGTCAGAGATTTTACGCTCGTTACTAGATGCTATAAATGCCAGCAATACGGTCACGCAGCAAAAACCTGTCGAGAGCCCTTTTTATCGTGTGGTCATTGTGGAGAAGTAGGACACGCATTTTCTGAGTGCAAGAAAACAACGGAATCTCCTAAGTGTGCAACTTGTACCCGCTATAGCAAGCCGAATAAGCATAAAACGGGTGACGCTGAGTGCCCTGCTAGGAAAATAGCGGAGTACAGATTCATCAACTCAATAGACTATGAAGGTGCATAGTACGCATATTGTTGTACGTCAGAGTTAGGTGTTCACCTTCCTTTGCACAATAATTGCGCAACGTATCCAGTTAGCCGACGGAAACTTTGTTGCTGTACAAGCAAAAAATTTTAATACTTTATAATAACACGAGTGAAGTGAATGACCATAAGAACTTAGTAACCTAGTTTTATTTATGTTTCTGCCGATGTATGTAATTCCACAGCTGTAGTCATATAATGTATTAGTTCTAAATAATTTGTCATAATTATGTAGGTATTATTATATTATAATGAATGTATTTATATATAAAATATATATATAAAATAATCATAGTTGAATTTGCTAAATCATGATAAGTAATATTGGTTTATAGAAATAAGATGTCCTAAATTAGTATATAATGTTAAAGCTACTTTCGCCTGTGATACAGGGCTTTCCTAGTACAGGCATCTAACTGTATAAGGTCTACATCGCTTATTAAGATAATATTTTGTATTTTGCTCATTTTTTATCATCAATAAAGATTATTATTATTATTATATCCACGCGATACGGATACAATGGGCGCTAGTGTTGCAAATCAAGAGTACGAAATTTCACAATACCAATGTCGATCGATCGGAATTGGATTCAAGAGTAAGCCCACAGATCAGTCGACCAGGGTCGGTCAGTCGAATGGTGCCGTAATGTTACTGCTTTGTCTGATGAGGATTTCGGATGCCCAACCCACTGTTTGGTTGCATAATAGTCATTTTCGCGGAGACCTTCCGATAAAAAGTGGCGTAAACGTAATTAAACAGTTTACGTCGTGCCTGAGTCGCGTCTAGCTACTGGAATTATTACTAGGAGTAATTTTAAAGTCTAGACTAGGTAGGGATTTATAGGTAGGTACTTACCTACATATCAGATTGTACGGTTAGTGCACTAGCTAAGCGTAGTGATTAGCTGCTCCGTTACATGAGATGGCACTAAATATGGGTACCTACCTACCTAGATCTACCTACGGCCTACTTTTTCTATGATCCAATGAATAGAGCAGATACTTAATACTTCTTACTTTTGAACTATAATTTTCTAATTCTAATAATTTCTTCATTCCAGCTACAAATACGCAGCCGGTTTCTTGAACGAGGGCCGCATTGGTATCGCGTCGCAGATGATCGGTCTGTGCCAAGGATGCATGGACGCCACCATTCCTTACACCCTTGAGAGGAAGCAGTTCGGCAAGAGCATTTACTCATTCCAGGTAAGAATATCCTATATAATGGCTTGGAATGAAAATAATGAAACAACGAAGAATTTTTTTATGGGAGAAGTCGGTAAACGATCAGATGGATCACCGATGGTAAGCAATCAGCGTCGCCCATGGACACCTGGAAACAGAGACGTTTCATGTGCGTTACAGTTACGGACCTTTAGGGGGTTAGTAATGGGGGGGGGGGTAAGTAATTAGGCCTCCGTTAACTTCACTCACACGAGGCAACAACGCAACCATTGTTTCACGTCAGTTTTCTGCTCGGCCCCACGGCCGAGCACTATATCACTCTGGTCGAGCCGTCCCATTCGTGCCGAAGCATGGCTCTCCCACACTTGACGAATGGGTAAACTAAATTGGGTACTGAAACAATTTGCTAAGTAGCTACAAATAAGTATTAACAAATAGGCATGTATTTAGTATTAATAATTAATATTCTACGGTTAACCAGCAGAAGAACAATTGTCTGTAACTATTACAGAATATAGGTACCTATCTACCTACCTACCTATCTACTATGTTGTCTAGTTCGACGGTCTAACTACCTACTCACTACTGAAATTTATGCAAATAGGCGTCGAGTAATGGTGCATAACTATGAATAAATAAGTAGGAAGTAGATGCCAAAATTTAAGTCTGTGGTCTAATATTGAATTTTTCATCTACAGGGTATCAGCTACCAGATCGCTCACCTCCAAACTCAACTGGAAGCCGCTCGTCTGCTGACCTACAACGCTGCCAGGCTCAAGGAACATAACATGAGCTTCGTCAAGGAAGCTGCCATGGCTAAATATTACGCTTCAGGTAAGTAAGTCAAGATATTTGGTCTTTAGAATGAGTCCCTGGTCGCGAGTGTGAGTGTGACTCCTGTAATTATTACTCACTTAGGAAGACATAATAAAAAAAGTCCAATCCATAAAAGTCCTGACTCGTTGATCGATCTCTCAGTCTCACTCTCGATCAACGAGTCAGTCTTTTTTATAATAGAATAGACCTTGAGAAAAACCTTAATTCTATAGAAACTTAATTTTCCACACCAACGAATCTGTGGGTCTCTCTCCATAATCAAATATTGTTCTAAAAGTCAACTTCGCTATCAAAAATTTTTAATTTACAGAAATCGCACAGAAGTTGACATCAAAGTGCATCGACTTCATGGGAGGAGTAGGTTTCACTAGAGATTTCCCTCAAGAGAAGTTCTTCCGGGATGCCAAGATCGGTACCATCTATGAAGGAACCAGTAATATGCAACTGCAAACGATTGCCAAGCTGATTGAGAAGGAGTACAGCCAATAGAGATTATGAAAGAAAAATATAATATTATGAATGATATTTTGTACATAAAATAATTTTGAGAACATCCGAACGAATAGTACGGGTTACTATTCAAATGTTTGCATTTATTAAATTGTGAACTAGTACATATACAATGTTAAAGAGATTGTAGTTGATATTAGTTAAAAATTAATTGTATAATTATATAAGAATAATGTCTTCCCTTTTATACAAAATCAGATTTAATGTAATTAAAAATTATATATTTTATACAAATTGTATTCCAAATAAAAGACTTTTATAAACTATAATATTAACATTTATTTACAGAAAACTAAGTCTACATAAGATTATTTCGGTTCATGTGGCATTTTGAAACCGACCATCCTTGCGGTTTCCTCAACACTCCTTTCTCCCTTTCCTTTGAACTCAGCATTGATTTCTTTGTACCTTCTGGAGTGGTGGAGATAATCATAGTAAGACTTAGCTCTGAAATGCATTTCATCAGCTGCCTTGCATAATTGTTGGTCTGTAGTCTGATATTTCCTGTATTCTCTGAATATGTACTGAACCATTTGATTCTCTGCAAGCTTTGATGACGAGCCTTGTTTACGTAACTCTGACAACAATTGCCGTAGTGTTACAAGAGCAGGCTTTGTAGAAATTGATGCCATTTTTATACCTTCAAACAAATTAAATGTTCAGCTGCTTTACCATGAGAGATGTTATGAATTCTTCGGTATTTTCGTATGTTGGTTTGTCGCCTTTGACCCAAAAATCTGATTCAATTTGTTCTAGATTTTCTTTAGTAAAATAATGAATAGAAGTATCATTAAAAATGTCAGTGAATTTGAAATTATTTGTTAACGTCACTTCAGAAGTGTGTGGAAATATTTTAACTATGTATGGGACAGTTTCAGACAGTATCCTACTCGGTTGATTGTCAATTAGTGAATGAAAACTGTTACACACAAGTACACAGTTTTCTAAATTAATACCCCAGTTACTCCAAAGGAAATTATTAGTCAATTGCTTTGGGCAATGAGGTAAATAAACAAGAGTAGGTCCTTCATCAGATATTACATAACCACCTTCCTTATTTTCTAAAACAACTTCTAAGCCTAACTTTTTTAAGACTTCACACTCCTTTTTATAAAAAATAGGGTCATGTACTAATACTTTCGAAGGCTTACAATGATCCCTTAGACACAGCAAGAGAGCTAATTGATGTTTTGAAATATTACATTCTCCTATGTGTCCAAGGCCTAAACAAACTATTTCTACAATTTGTCTGTCCTTTAATATGCTACTCACGGATTTTATAACGTCCTCTAGGTAGCTAGAAAGCCGCAAATCGTCTACAGCGCAGTAAATCCGTCTGTAAGATAGTAAACAACAATGATTTAACCTCAAAATTTTTAAAAGATATAATTTTTGCTGAGATATTAAAGATACTTACCGAATGGTCTTGTCGACGTCTATATCTAGGTCTAGTTTATCAAATTCTATATCCCTCCTTGGTATTTTTGTAGGCTTATTCTTCGAAATTCGTTTTGATTTTACTTTCTGAAAACCATCACTGTCGAGTTCGGGTTTTGACATTTTGTTGTAAATCAAAGAGTATAATTTGTAAATTCATAAATTGTTGCCAGTTGCCTCATCAGAAGGAAATGAAAGATGCTAGCTAAAAAATAAAAAATAATTTAAAAGTATAACTTTACGTAAGACATTTAATGTTATATTTTATCGCAGATGTCACACTTGTTATCCAGTTCTAAAATAAATGTATTTTTATTCAGGTAGCGCCATCTAGTGAAGAATGACATAAAAATAGCAAGAAAAACAGTGTTTTGTTTTAGTTGGCTAATAAGTAAAGAAAGACAGTTTAAGGTTTGTCTAACAAAAGAACTCATTTATTAGTCATAATTATATTGAGCCGTCAAAGAAAGGAATGATAAAACCTTAATAAAACGTGACAGTTCTGAAGAACGTCCTCTCATTAACTCTCATCCCTTAAATTCCCTTAGATACCCAAGGTAAGGATAGGAAGGATTATCAATTTGTTGTTGTCGAAACAACCGAGGTAAATGGTACAATTTTGTTGATTTTAAGTCTTATTGCATTGGCACTTCTCAGTAACTACATAACACCATTAAATAATAGCACCAACACCAAATGGTAAGTTGTGTAAACACAGAGGGCTGAACAATTTCCATTTGTTAATGTTAGTCTATAATATATCTATAACCTATTGAATGTAGGTACTTTCATATAAGTCTACCTCCAATCACTCCCATGTAGTTTTTACCTACCTACCTACCCTAATTCTCATTTTTACCTAAAGTGGAGCATTCAGCCAAAGAAACTACACGACCTGAATTATAAAAGAAGTATCAAATGAGGGCGCGGCCTAAATTCGGCATTTAATTCACTTATGATACGGTTCCCACACGAGACGTCCTTGATCAGGTATTTGGGTTAGAAAAATTACCTACTAACAAAACAGCGTTGAGGACGGGCCGTGGCGGCGCATATCGAGTACCTATTGTCCGTTTTGTATGGGAGGGACAATCAAAATCTATGAGCAAAGCATTCGAATCACGCATCCGTATTCGTTCCAACATACCGTAACACGAATAAGGCGACAATTGTGCACCGAACGATATTATTAACCGCGTATGTTCAGCCAAAGGACGACGCTTCCCGCCCCAGCCGGTCGGCGCGAAAATTTTATTTTTAAATTTTCCGCGTTCCAATTACGAATTTAGTTGTTTTCATAAACTTTCTAATGTTTACTTGAGAGGCAACCGTAACGGCCTCCTTGGTTATTTATTCAAGAGTTTTGAAGTAATTAAATTGTATTCGGTTCGTTACTTTTATATAACTTTATTAAAATGTTTTGGTAGGTAGTTGGTTTGTTTTCTATGTTTTAGTTGTAAAACGTTAGTGGGCTGAGCCCAACGTGTTTAGTAGTGAGTGCGGTGTTTTTCTTTTAAGTGATAAACTGATTGCTGAGTGGAATTATAATGGAACGTTACGTAGTGACTCGTCGTTCTAAACATAAAAGTGATGGATTTTTGACAAAATGCAGGAGAAAATACAGCGTGCTGCGGAAACGATCATGGATCACTAGCGGTTTCGACTTGAATGTAAGTAGTATTTTAATAAGATAATATCTACTAGAATAAGGTTTAATTATGATTAGTTAAGTGATTACAAGAGTAATCACAACTGACAACACGGGGGCTTAGGTTCACTGTCCGATTTACAAGATCGATTTCGAGGTTGAAATGCACGTGCATGTAGTACTTACATGTGTCGTGTCTCAAAGAGTAGTAGAGGTATATATTTAAGTACCTAAGTCTAAATTCCAAGTCCTAGTAGATATATCCAGAAATTATCATGCTGCACGATCCTGCGCCCAGAAGATCCTATGCCCAACTATGTCGCGGAGAACCTAACGGGTAACCGGGGCTCCGGCTCGACGTGCAGGAGAAGGAACGGGGTGGTTTTTAGTCAGTAAGAGTCTGACACTCCCTCCCGCCTCACCCAGGCGGGGGCAGTCATTCGATGATTTTCCCCCCTTAAAAAAAAAAAAAAAAAAAAATGCCCAACTATAGACACCAACACAGCACTAGGGAACTAACCATAAAATAATAATATTTTTATGGGAAGTAACTAAAATAAGTAATTAATAGGAATTCTCAATTAATATTACAATTGAATGCATAGTTTCCTTCACTTAATACATAACACACATTAATGGAATGAAAACCTCGTTACGTGTAACGTATAAAAATAATTCAATTTCAACTGTAATAGCTTCCTATGTAATATGTAATAAAAATGGCTGCAAATATAATAACAGTCTATGATATACCTACAGATATTTATTAGAGTTTTGTATTTCAATTAATTTAATTTGAGATGCCTTAGTGCCGATTTTTCAATGCTCAGATAAATTTTATCAGAGGAATAAGTTTAAATATTTGACAATTCTTCCATTGTAATAACTGTCAAATGCCAATTTTATTCTACAGTAAGAATTAACTGATGATTGTATAGTCGACAACATCGTATTGGAGACTCGGTTGCCAAAGAAGAAAAAAAAACTGATGATTGTAAAATCGGCCCTTATTCGTTTTAACATAAATAGTATAAATACTTACCTAGCCTTAGATTTGAAGTCCTATCGGGCTCTAAATCCCAAGGTGTTACGGGTGTTTCTGGGCGGCGACAAATGCTTACCTCTTTGTTTGGTCTATCCCATAAAAAGAACTCAAACGGAATTTTGTGTTAATATTGAAACTAAGTAAATGTGAACCTCATTTTTTATATTTTTAATTTGCGTGTCGATTAATAAATAAAAAAATCTCTAGAAAGGACCCATGCTGCGACAAAATATAGGAATATATTAGGGACATGAAAAAAACCACACTCGTCCCCCTTTATATTGAAAAATTCTTAAATAAAAGATTAATGTCAAAAACGTGACATGTTCTATAAAATTTTTGACAGACGACCCACAGGTTAGCCATTAGCTTTCACTTCGCCGATTCTCCGAACTAACTACAGGTAGGTAATGGTTTGGTCAGTAGCTTCGTTTTGATCACCTTGTCACGTACATTGAATGCATTCTTATTACGTGACTCGAAGCCTACAATCATGACCCTGCGAAAAACCATTATGTGTGTAATAGGTCTTGTTAACATATTGTAGGTATTCGTGGGTGTTATTAAACCCTATAACAAGGGCAATATCTAAAGACAGTTTTTGGTCAAGTAGGATTAGTTGTCGCCCACGTGTTAGGATGACATATTACCAGACCCGATAAAGGTTGCAGGAAGCCGGTTGGTCGCTTACAACTAGCTTTTCATGGAGACCAATTCGCTCCCATATGGAAGTAGTTCATAGCGAGAGTTCTACGTTCACTATTTAAGTAAGGGATAATTTGTTTTAATCATCAGCAAGTGTAAGTACCTAATAAATGTTGAAGAATTTATTGGAATCCAAAAAATCGTTTACTAGCTACTAATTTATTTGGAAACTAATTTGCTGGTCTTTGAGCTACATGAGAAAAGTAGGCTAATTGTGAAATAGTTTTACTGACTACTGCGTAACTAAAATCCCTTGCTTCCATAAAATTGAAGCGCTCAATCTCAAATAGACGCCGCTACGTGATTGAAGAGCAAACATTTGTTCGAATATTTTTATTTTACTTCATGAGCCTCACGCAACGACGTTATAAAATAATCCAAAACAATAGCCTTAATACACAAGTTGAGTATAAAAGAAACCTAAAAGCATTGTCTTCAATGCACACTTACTCGTAATTTGGTAAACAAATTATAAATTCAAAACATATTGTCACTTTCTCCAATACAATAATTGTCACTTTTTTGGCGCGCATTAGCATGGGCACAATGCGTGACGCTTCCTTACATGAGGCAGAATGGCTAGACTCCTTTGCCAACTAATATGGCTGCACGTCAAATGACGTTTAGGTATTCAATGTTAATTTTTCGCTTTTGTTTTGACAAATTCTTTTAGCGTTAGTGTATCTGGTTATTTGGGTGACCATTGTTTTTCTAGACTAGGTTATTTAACTGAGTAGTCTAGTTATTAAGAGTTCATGAGTTCATCTCAGTTTAAAATCTGTACTAATAACCACCAAGAGTTGTACAGCCGAAAAGTTTGTTTGAAAACGATAATTCTGAACTGTCAGTTGATTTTGAAAAAGTTTGAATCTTTACATTTGAATCTTTATAGTTCGATTGTCCATTGGTGCGATGTATAAAACAAAAGAAGGATCCGTTTTTCTTAGATATATTATATTGGGGAACTTTGACGTCTTAAAAGCTTCAAGCTATCTAGCTTGACTTTGAAAAACTTACCTAAATTCGGAACAAAGATTAAATTGGATATCAATTAGAATTTTTGAATTATGTACCAAAATAATAAGACTCATGTACAGTGATGTAGATTGCAGAAATTATTATAAATAATGTTCTAATTTTGTGTTCTGCGAATCATTTGATCTAAGAACTCTAGGCTTATGAAACAGTTCTCAGTAAGGAAACTCGAGTCTAAAGATAGCTGCATCCAGTTAGGAATGCACCATTTTAGGCATGCGTATGAGATTGCATTCAGATGCATAGTCATAGATCATATGAAATGAGGCCAAATATGCATAGCATAGAATCATAATTTAATACGTACCTACCTTCTCTGTTTTATAAGTAGACGAGTTAACCTATTGACTACTGACTGTAGCCTAATTGGCTACCTCGTCCTCTATAGATATTTCTAAATAAAATTGTTCTATGGCGAATAACAGACTCTTTTTTAGAGTTAATAAAATTATGAAAGTTTATTAACGAAAGAAGTATACTGAGCTGATATGAATGGAGCCGTCGGTAGAGGGCGCCCTAGATGGACATATACTGACCAGATTGGCGATATATTAAAGAAGGGCCAAATTAAAAGTACCCTTAACCGACGAGCATGCATGAAAAGACTGATGACAATTGGCAGTTGACTAGCAATTGGCGGTTCATAGTCTCTGCCTATCCCCATGGGAAACAGACGTAAATATGTATGTATGTTGATAACACTAAAAGATCATTTTCCATAGCCTGCTTCGAAATCCTTAAAACATGACATTTTTGAACA